ACTTTCAGTGTACAAAGCAAACATCACCAATTAATATTTTCTAAATAATGCATTTTATATAGTTTTCAAGAAAAAAAAATATTAGAGATGAGCACAGGACAAGAATTTTTTACCTGTCCTGTTCTGTCCTGCTAACTTTTCTGTCCTGACGGGCGGTAGGGCAGGACAAAAATAAAAATCTTGTCCTGTCCTACAGGACAGGACAGAACCGGGCACCAGGACAACAGGACCCTCCTGTCCTGTGCTTATCTCTGGTTACTATCGATTTAATTTTGTTAGGCTAAGGAAGTTAAAATCTCTTTGATACAAGAAAGTTCTTATTCAAGAAACCTTTAAAATAGTGTCTATCTGATTCAATGAGCAGTCTGACTACAAAGCACGTGGAGAATACGTACAAATACCATGCATTAAAATCAAAGGGTGGATTTTTTGCAGTGGGGTCGCCATGGATTCTGACCTTTGCAAAATTTTGTTGGTCTGTCATTTAAGCACGAATAGAGCTAGGATATCATCCAGTTATATTTCCAAAATATTACAGAAGGTACTAGGGTATGGATGTGTGAGCGTTGTTATGTCCTCTATTGAAACATCCTGACCTTCACACTTATGCTCTATCCTTAGGTAAACGCATCTTTTCATGCCAATGCCTTTTGGTAGAATATAGTTTTTCTGACGAGGAACATCAGAATTGAAAGCAACATTTGAAATTCGAACGGGACGTTCAATGATCTCTTATAACATTTTCAGATCTGCAAAAGAAATGGCAGTTTCGAAGGAGAATCCATCGTTTCGTCGAAAGTTAGCACTGATTATCGGCAACGATAAGTACAAAAAGTCATATAATAGACTGAATCATTCTCTTAATAATGCTAACGATCTGAGTGATGTGCTCAAAACAATCAATTTTGAAGTGACAACATTTTATGATTTAAATAAGCAACAATTGATCACAAGTATTATTGGTTTTGCTAAAACTATCCGTGATGGTGACTTGGTTTTATTCTACTATTCCGGTCATATTTGCGAGGCCAATAGGAAAAACTATTTTATGCCTGTTGATGACACTACAATAAGAAGTGATATAGACATTGAAGACTTCTCAGTCAACATTGAAAGAACACTTGCACGACTAGTAGAAACAAATCCATCGTACTTGACCGTATTTCTCTTGGATTGTTGTAAACCATACTTGCTGAAAAATACATCAGCATCCAATGGTAAGTCCAACTGTTAATGACATTATAACAGCAATGTTCGTATTTCTTTAGCTGCGATCGAAGGTAAAGGTTTGCCTGAAATTAAACCACCTGCTGGAGCATTCATTCAATATGATTGTGCTGCCAATCAGGCAATCAAAGACGTTCTGGAAACAGATCATAACAGTTTATTCACCAAACACTAGCTAAGAAATATTACTAGAGAAAATGTCGATTTCACCGACATTTTTCGAGATATAGCCGACGGCGTCTACAAGGAAAGCAATGGTAAACAACGACTATTATCTATGAACGAATTTCAGAAACATGGACCAGTCTATCTCAATAAAGTGGTCAAGCCTGTGAAACGTGAGTTAAACAGAAGTCACATCAAATGTTTAACATTAGCCTTAAAGGAATCTGTTGAACACTTGACTATCAGAAACAGGCATGCTAAATAAGTAGAAGAGTCAGGTGTCTTATAACGTCGAGGTTGCTTTTCCATCTGTACGTTAAATCGCTTAATTTGAGAAGATCCTGATAAATTTTTACTGTCGAAGACTGGGGCACTTAAGAAGTCATCTGTTCTCATCGATTGTGGTACTGGAAATAGTCATAGCAATGTAAATATCTCAAATTAATACAAAAAGGCATATACTCCATCGGACAAAAGTTCCTTAATTGGTACTTGCTAAGGTAGATTATTTGAATATATTGTCTCAATGTTCAAAGGAGTCAATGAAACTGAAAAAATTCAAAGCAAGAAATATTTTTTGTTTGGAAAACTGTTTCCCGATCATTTGTGCTCCTAGTGTCTATAATAAGCCTTGTGTTGATGGCAAACATGCCGTTTATTTTTACTGGCAACCAAACTATTATGATCGAAGACATCCAAACATTAATTAATATGCATTTTTACAAGATAGGCCATCTTGAACATATTGAAGACTTAAGTCGTCTTGCAATAGTAATCTATTGAAGTATACCGATATTGAGCCCTCCACTTCTATTATTCGCGTAATAGAAATAATTGATACACTTTGTTCTCTCGGATAAAGTTTTCTGATTCTTTTTGAGTTTGTTTCATTTCAGATACAAAAATAATAATGCTGTGCGAGCCTTTCGAGGACATCATCGACTCTCAGAAGGAAAAACTACGAAGTAATAATGTTTCAAGGAGTAGACGGATTTATATCGTGTTTAACGTACAGCAAGCTCTTGATTCGGATACTGATGATAAATTCCGACGGAGTAAAACATTTATTACTGACCTATAAACATGCTATATGTTGAAGCCTAATCTCACATAGGATTTAACTTATGTGAATAGCTATTTAGCACTGTTTTTGCCTTTTCAGTATTTTTGAAAGTCGATCATTATGATAAGTTATTGCGTATTTGTTGACATTCACAGAGTAAAATTCACGCGCCTTTTATTCACAACATTTGTTCTTTTCAACAGAACCAGAACCTGATCAATTCCTTGACAATGATTGGGATGAAAAAAATGACGGCAGCCTCGAATTAACTAAAAAGGCGCATATACAGGTAAAAGCTTACTATGACAATTTTCCAAGCATTGACGACGTTACAAACGATACACGACAAGAAGTTAAACAAGCTAAAGCATTTACGGATTCAATTCTTCAAAATTTACCTTCTGGAAATGTAACTGAAAGAGCAACTGCATGTCATGTATTAAAGAATTTGCTTGAAGCTCAAAATATACAATGCCTATTTTATGATTCTAAGCACGGTAAAGATCTCCGTGATTCATCTGGAATTTTGGCTGAAATTGACTCAAAAGAAAGACCATTCGTATTGAAATTAAACAATTGTAAAGGATTAGGAGGCAGCATGGGACCAAAAACTGAGCATGGCGCTTTAAGATTGTCTCGAATATTACTAGATGCACTTGAGAAAAACGAATCTCATCCAGTTATTGAAGATGTACGAAAGCGGTTATCAGAAGCGCATCGAACCAATAAAGAGAATATTAGCGTAAAATCCATATATGTTGGCTCATTTAATGTGGCTTACACTGTAAAAGATTGGACACCTGATGCTGTGGAGTCACTTCCGGAACTTGAAAAAAACCTAAAAGATAAATTTGAACAATTTGTAGCTGCAAAAATTCATCCATTACTGTGTCGTCCAGCATTTGATATCTCCTTCTTTGATAAACAAAGAAATAAAACGTTCTCGGATTCATACGAAACTCATCAAGTTGGCCCACCTGGAAAGACTCAGACTTATATCTCACCGGCCGGATGGACGAGATATGGATTGAAAGTATTAGACAAGTACTCAAATGGAAATAATTGGTTACATCCATTTCAAGATCCTGGCAATTGGTACCGAGCTTTTCATGGGACAGGACGCGCATCGGCCGATGATTTTAATAAATCTAAACAGTCTTTCGATCAACAATATGCATCTGTCGATGCTCTTGGAAGTATCTATAAAACTGGATTTCGTTCGGCAAGAGTGGCTGCATTCGGAGCTGGCGTTTACTGTTCTCCAGATCCTAAATTTCCTGAAAAGGGATATGTCGGAGTTGTTCAGTGCGATACACAACAAGGGAAAAAAAAATTTAAATGTATGTTGCAAGTAGCTGTGAATCCTGACGGTGTCAGAATTGCTACCGACAAGGAAATATGGGTCGTACCGAATCCTGAAGACATTCGACCCTACGGCATACTTATCAAAGAGGCTTAATTGGATAGTATTATTAATTTTACTTTTTTCTATTCTTGATTCTTTTCTGAATACCTCTCCAGAAATACATTTGAGAGTTTGCTATTATAATGACTCCTACCACAGAGAATGTTTTTCATTTTCGGATTTTTATAGCTTCAATTTCTTTTTAAATAAAAAACAACTCAGCGAAACATTCATTAGTCATTCGTTGTGATTTTTTCGTAAGATATTTATCAAGACAGCACAAACATGAATAGTATTGACAGCATTCATATTTGCGAATAAAATTCGTCAATACGTTGATCTCTGAAAGCCTTGATATTTCATTCTACTTCCCATGTGTCAATACTGCAAGTTTTTCTTTTTCGCAGATCTGAAGTGAATACAACAGCGAAAGTTTTACGTCAATGACTGATCAGAACGAACTCGGAACAATACCTTGCTTATCTTTATTTTTTCCATTATTTTGTATTGAAGATGATCACAATTGCGTAAAACTACTCTTCACCGATGAAAAAAAAAAGCATTTAACCATTATTGTTCTGATCAAGGTGGCAATGTTGGTATTCCCTACATCATTGATGAAAGAAAAATAAGTGAGGTAGGAATTCTAGCTTATTGTTTGAACAATGAAACCGAATAGAAAAATACTTCGATAGGAAGTCGATCTAATATCTCTTTCATGTGTCACATTGATTTAGAACTTGAATGGGACTATTCTCGTGAATGACTCCAGATGAATTAAGTCATTATTTGCCTGTTTATGAGTTGATATTGTCGATTCGGCTCATATGGAATATATTTAGGTAGAGTGCAAAAAAAACTTACTATGGGCGATGTCGGATATCGTATTCACCCAGGCAAATCTTTTTAAACTCTTTTTCCACAACAAGAACTACTGCTATCTGTCTTCTTTCTTCCTCTGAAATCATGTTTTTTTTTTCTTTCGTTCTATTTCATGTAACGACGCATCTGTCTGTGAGAGGGAAAAAGAGATAGAAATAATTGAACAACACACTACGACGAAGACAGCTCAATCATTTTTATATTTTTGGAAACTGTTATTTCCAACTTTAATCAGTCTTGATTGAACTGTATACAATCATCATTTTATCCTTCTTCCTTAGTAATGATGAATTGAATTGTTTAGAAAAACAAAAATTCAATTTTAGTTTCAATACTCTTACACGATCGATACATATTGTTTCTAATGATGAGTACTGAATCAATAACAATAAATCTCCTCCATGAGCAGGTCAACATTGAATGACATAGTCATTAAAGAACAGTCTTATTGGTATGGTTTATTGACTCTTTTTTTCGAAATGTGCTAGTTCCTCTTTTAAATTTATTAGACGCA